TCTGAGTCGATAATGCAGGTTCCCGCAGGTGTTATTTGCCAGGAGTGTCCAAACTTCTTTTGCAATTAATTATTCTCACATGCTACTTTTCCGAAGCTGATTATAACTGCTTTACAGCTTTTTAAGAACAAATTTAAATGATTGAATTAAATAATTCTATGGAGCTGAGCCTTTCTTGCCGTGGGGATCCGTTGCGCTGACCACGTGACACCCTCTGTCCGCAAATGTTGGCATTAACTTCGCCGACAAGCGACGATCGCTCGGTCGGTATAGTTTGCTTGCGGACTACAGACTAAGGAGTTTTTTTAGCTTTTCTTGAGAAGCCGCCACTTTCGTAGCTACTCAGAAATTTCCCAAAATATTATGGAACCCCGAAAGTTCATTACCATGTTAACAAGATCCATCTACTGGTTCCTATCCTGGGCCAGATCAATCTAATCCATACCACTCTATCATATCTAAGATTCTAGACGAAGGGTAAGGCCCGAAATATTAAAACTAACCACGATTCATTTTCGTCAAGAACATTCAGAAATGAACAATATTCATGTGGATTATAATTTATTCTATAATTTGTCCAAATCGGAATCCATTTTTACCGGAAAATTTTTCCCGTGCCAAGAATACATCAAAATGATAACTTCAACATTCTGTGATCATTTCATGCGCTTCATGCACTAAAAGCATAAGAGTCGAATACTGCATTCACATACAGTAAAGGTATTCCTGTAACAGGCCGTTGAGGCCCATAGGGTTGTGAGATGTTGAGGTTCTCATATCTTATAGATAATCGGCTCATAGATGGCGGCAAGGTTGTCAGCCCTACGCGCCGGCCGCCCTTTACCCCCAAGAACATTCCTGGTACTCATTCCTGTTAGGGGCTGAGTCGACCCCAGGGCCATAGTGCGGCTGGAAGGAATAGGTCAATTGAAAAATCCAATGACCTCATCGGGACTTGAACCCGCGACCTTCCAGCCTGTAGCACAGTGCCTCAACCAACTACCCTATACATTGATCACGTATTAACAAGTGCTTGTGCATTTCCAAATCGGTACCTGCAGTGGACAACGTTCACTTGCTCGAATAAGAAGTTCTAGGAAGAGCTTATGGCATTTGCCTTCCTTCAAATGGTTCAATCTGTATGGGAAGAACAGCGTCCAGACAGGCTCTGGGGTCCACCCAGCATCCTATCCAGCGGGTAACAGGAGCGAATTCCCCGGGAAGTATGCGGCCGAGACTTGAAGCTGATCACTCACCTCCACCTACTGCCGAGGTTATGAATGGTGGAGCTATATCTCCAATCTCCCATATGTCTTCATGGCATAGTCAGGGACAATTTTACCAGAATACTAAGAGATTAATAGGTTGGCCACGCAACACACCAGCTCCGAAACTCGCTCGTAATAGTCTGTTCAGAGTCATGATTAATTCAGATGAGCTCATCCATCGCAGAAGCCCAGAATCTGACATTCGCTGGCCGGATCAACATTTGTCTCCCTGAATACTGACGCATAGCCGATATGACAGCGGATCATGTAGGGGGGAGGAGAATACTGCTTGGGACATTAGGCATCCCAACTGCCTCCAGTGCTATGTGGGTTGTGTATGCAGCAGGCTGCTATCCGTGCGAATAAGCCAGGTGAACCGGGTATGAGGATTAATTACTAGCGGGTATAATGTGATTTCCCCTAGCACAATTCGTAATCAACAGCTTAATTCGAAATGATTGCTTAGTCCTGTTATATCATTGCTTTCAGGAAGCAATTTCATGGAATAATGAAATACAAAACGTATAGAGGCTAGTCCATTGCATTACAAACAGCGCTTCGCGAAACCCGGGGGTTGGGCCTGGACAGATTAATGCGACTTCGGCTTATAACATTGACCCCAAATCTCCTATTAAATAATCATATTCCATTATCGACTAAATCATTGGGCCCTACAACTAAGATAACGACCATTATACCTATTTTGTATTTTCTTAAGCGGGGGAGTAAAGGTAAATTTGTCCCTATGGTTATTTAAGCAACACTACATGAGGACATGTTGAGGAGTGGAGGTATAGCTCCACCATTCTTAACCTCGTCACTAGATAGATGTGAGTAGTCAGCTTCGTGCCCCGGCTGCTTTATGCATAGGGGAAGGGCCCCCAGTACCCACTGGGTAGGAGGCTGGGTGGGCCTCAGAGGCGTTCCAGACTTTACGGAGAAGATAAAAATTCTTGCCCCTGCTGGGAATCGAACCCAGACCGTCCAGCCCGTAGCCAGTCGTTGTATCAACTGAGCTACCCCACTTCTGCGGGTTTGATTCCCGATCAGGTCATTGGGATTTTTAACTGACTTAATCCTTCCAGCCGCACTATGACCCTGGGGTCGACTCAGCCTCAAATGAGTACCAGGAATCTTCCTAGGAGTAAATGGCGGCCGGCGTGTAAGGCTGACAAACTCACCGTCATATATGAGCGGACTGTGTTAAAAAATGTGGGAGCCTCGATGTCTCACAACCTTATGGGCCTCCACGGCCCGTTACAGGGATAACTTTACTATTTTTAAAAGTTAATAAACTATGGAATTATCAGCTTAATAAAAAGGACACACAAAACACCAGCTCAGTTGCTCATCGAAATCTATGGTTTTCCTCAGTCCTGTCAGAGGATACAGGAAGCGACCACTTGCTTCTAATTTCTTTGCTCATTATCGGATTCTCTATATAAGAACTGAGGCCCTCAGTACTACGATTACAGACCTCTGAGATCGATCGCCAGCAACGTTTCGGATGAACTTGTCGCCTCCATCTTCACGGTCCCATGTAACATCTACAGATTTGAATTTTTCCGCACTTCCATTCTGAAAATGTAGGCATCATATTCCTCCGAAGTAACAGTATATATCTACCAAATTAAGCGGAGTCAAATTCTACACAGCCATAATTTTCATTTTAAGTTTCCTATGGTGATAAATACACTCTGAGAAAAGAGACAGCGACATTAAATAACTAACGAAATGAAAGTATAGCAGACAAATATTTCAACAGGAACCCGAGATAGGCTAGGACCGTAAATCTGTAACTCCTCCCTAGTCATCGCTTATTATAAGCCTAGCTCTAATATACCATTAGACGCTAAATAATCTGTTCAGCTGATACAAAAACTCCGTGGTTTTAGTTCGCAAGAGAACTGTATCAACAGAGCGAGCGACGCTTGTCGGCGAAGTTAGTGTTGACTTTAGCGGATAGAGAGTGTCACGTGGTCAGCGCAATGAATCCCCAAGGCCGTTAATCTCGGTTTTCTAGACCGGAGCAGCCATTTCCTTGAAATATCTCCTCAGTTATCCTCACGAGGCTGAGTAGACCCTGTTCCAGACCTACTACTTCTCAGAAAACCTGGTAGCGCCGGGAATCGAACCCGGACCTCTGGATCTGTAGCCAGGAACTCTGACCACTACACCACAGCGGCGGTCCTTCAGTTGATACAGTCTCCTTAAATAACAAACGTTAGTGAATGGTTAGCTGCCCTGGTTCTTCCATTCAGGCACAGCTGAGTAGCACGGAAGTTCCTGTTTGGCGAGGGGGCTTGGGGGCCCTATTCATTAGCGACCATTTTTTAAAAATGAAATTCAAGTGCTTCTCACCGCACGCTACCCTATTGTGATAACCCAGACACTCACCGAGGGTGTACAGCTCATAATGGCGCGTCGTTACGAGGGTGAATTTGTACTTTGAAGTGGCATAACAACCAATATTTCCAAGTATAACAACGTTGGGGCAGATGGCGGTAAGGGTTGCGTATCTAAACAGTTCGGGGTCCTATCTGTTCCACCTAACTACAGGGCCATAATTGTAATTAATAAGCGTTATTAGCTGAAGTTCGTGCGTTACTCAATGCTTCCTGAGGCGGGGGTTGTGGGCGCGGGTATTGTGTGCAGACACAAGTTGCAAACTCGATTTCCTTAGCAACCAGAGGATACTGCATGTGGCAGGCGTGCAGCAACACACGTCTCTGGTTTGCTTCCAGAGCAGACCCAGCCGAAAAGAAACGGGCATGGGTGGAATTAAACATATTTTTCTAACCACATTAATTAACAGGAATATATGATTTTGTGCAGAGGAGCAAATATAGGCGTATACTGAGCTGGTAGGTGTACCATTAACCCTACAGATTTTTATGAGAGATGTGCTCAGTTCGACTTTTGTCCAGACAAAGTGGCATTGGAGCAGGTTTCCTTGTTGTATTTCGGCTTCCCCTCCCAATTTTCATTCCACGAACTGCCTCACATTCATTAATCATCATATCCTATGTTATACAGTCCCGACAGGGACATCGTAGTGGAATAATCAGCAAAAAAAAAAGTTCAGTGTTATTCTCTTAGGATCAGAGGTCAAGTTTCACGCCCAAATAAAACAATGGGTAAATTATATTTCTGTATACTTCAATCTTCACGTCTTTAGATAGGAGACATGAAGACAGACATTCTAAACAACTATGAAAGAATATCTGTAATTTTTCCGGTGTTTTTTTAAATTGCTTCTTATGTAATTTTCCGATATCTCAAGAGGGAAGCATTAGTTTCGCGGGCCACAATCTCAACATGTCTGACCTAACGGTTTATGAAAGGGTAGTGTTTGTCATTTACAAACGTGTTCCCCCCTCCCGTTCCTGTTGATCACCAGCAAGCCAGCTCACTTGGTATAATATGTTACCCTGCTTTCGCCACAAATAGCCGTGGCCTGAAAACATTCCTGTTGGGCATACGTAAGGCACGAGTTTTTTACAATCCTGACGGCAGACGCATACACCTACGAACTAAGGACACGCAGTACGTGGTTACCGAATGTAAAGTTGTTTCCCAAAGACATCCTAATAAAGCCTGAACACTTTCCAACTATGTGCCACGAATAAAAGAAACACAAGACTCTGTATATCACAAATATCAACACAGAATTCGCTTCTTAAGGATATTAAAAACAAATAAAACTAACATGATTCAATAAAGGCAGCTTACCTTCAGAGTTCTGTATATGCGTTGCTGGAATTTCATGTTTCTCCGATAACCGACAGACGGAGCATGCCTAGCCACTCCTCCGGCTTGGTTGGGTTAGCTTTTCTTTTGATGGACGTTCCTTTCCTACGAAATAAACAGATGATTCGTGAATCCATCTGCTGCCACAGTTTAAGTTTGACAGTTTCATAAAGCATGTTTTCTTCCCAACCGATTCTTCGAGACCAAAACATTTAACGCACGAGTATCACGACTTAAGTGTTATCATTTCTAACAGGGAACTACTACATCGGCCACAAAGATAACAATAGCATAATCCAATCAATTTTAGAGTGCTTGCCTACAGCACTGGCCTATTATGGACAACCACTTGAAATGCACAATAAATACAAATATACAAGAAACGAATAAAAAGAAAAAGCACAAGTTAAACTAGAAATACATAAAGGAAATTTATTCCCCAGGGAAACTGTATTCCTAATAAAAATATAAATGCAACGTTGACAAATCTGGCTGAAGAACTGAGCCTCATACTGTTGCTTAGGGTACAAACAGAGAAGTTCCTAATTAATTTAGTTGGTGCAAGAAGACTAAAAGTAACCATGACAGAGTGGCAGTCTGTTTTCCTCTTAGAAAAATTAACAAGAAATGAAAGCATAATAAAGAATGAGAATAAAAAAGTAAAGCTCTCCCTGTAACAGGCCGTGGAGGCCCATAGGGCTGTGAGACGCCGAGGCTCCCACATTTTCTAGATAATCGTCTCACAAATGGCGGTGAGGTTGTCAGCCTTACGCGCCGGCCGCCATTTAGCCCCCACAAGATTCCTGATACTAATTTCTGTTAGAGGCTGTGTCGACCCCAGGATCACAATGCGGCCGGAAGAATTAGGTTAATTTAAAAATCCAGTGGCCTCATCGGGAATTGATCCCGCCACCTTCGGACTTGTAGCATAGTACCCAGACCAACTATCGTCTCACAAATGGCGGATCAAATCAATCAATTAATCAATCAATCAATCAATCAATCAATCAACCAATCAATGATAATAATGATAGCAATATTTCGGTCCTTCATTAAAGTGCTTGGAAACAGCTGATAAATGCAAAACAATTCGTAAGAAATTAAAACGATAAATATAAAAAGAAAAAATTACGTACTCGAAACGTGTTCTAGAACAGGAAGTGTTTTCAAAAGAAACGGAGCTCTTACTAAAACTATTCAAAAACCTACTTGCTTTATTTGTACCGACGAAGATGGAAATGGTGATGATATAGGAAAACAGCAGGCAGGCTTAGCTAATATCGCGCACTTCGGGGAACCACAACTACGTTCCCGCGGCGTACCGCACCGGTTACCTCCCAGTCACTAGCTACGTGACATAAGCCTACTTAGCGACGTAGCCCAACAAATTCGTCGGGCGCCATAAGTCTCAGCCAAATTGGAATGAAAAATCCCCGTGAGGTATAATGAAGTAAAACTAAAAAGAATAGAGACCACTATTGATTCATTTTTAACGATTGAGTATCTTCTAAATAATANAACGTCGGTTAACACCACATATACACGGTGCCAAACCCCAGAAGACTGCTTTCTTCATAGTCACCGCCGTGAAAGCCTCAAATCTTACAACAACAACAATAATAATAATAATAATAATAATAATAATAATAATAATAATAATAATAATAAAAATCAGTTCATACCTTACAGGAAATACCGTCACGATTTAGAGTGACTCTCAACGGGGTTTTAGATTTGATATTGGACTTACTGACTACTTCAACGCGCAACTTGTAATTACACTTAATTATAGCGCCATCGCTGTTCTCCACACTTTACAGTTCACTAGAGGACACAGACTAGTGTTCTCAGTCTTTTCCTAGAAGTTTCCTGGTAACGGCTTCTAACAAAGGCTATCCCTCTGTCTCCGGGCTCAAGTCCACTCTGAATCGCGGTTCCTTTCCAACTGAACTATTCTTCAAAGTCAAAGGCACATTGCGACTGACGGTCAGTCAGTCAGTAGAGCCCCATCTGCGGCTCATGACCAGATATTTATTACTGTTGGACAGTTACTCTGAACTATTCTTGCTTCAATTGTCCTCCTCATAACCTCTTTGCGCGGATCGAGTAGAAAAAACCGTTCCCAATAGTACCTCTATTGTTGCAAGCACATCCGTTGCCTAGAAACGGCTCTGACGTATTTGCTTATCTCGCTGTCGTTTCTTAGTAAGGGCTCTACACACTTCAATGCATTTAGTCTCCGCAGCGAAGCTCAACCTTTTAATGCTGCGTAGGGACACAACCACTGTTTATTTCGAAAACCATATGAAACACAAAAATGCATTATATGGAGAGCATGAAGGGTTTAGTGTGTTAAAGTAGGAGATGCATATAACAACCACTGGGCTCTAAAAAGCTAAGAACATTTAACAAAGCATTTAACACTTCGAAGCACGAGTTTCATATAAATAAATACAAAAACCTAGTTACCACTTCAAAGAAAATGCTGCGTCTCAGTCGATAAATTGTGGTTGTGGAAATAATCGCTGCCTATTCTAATAATCTTACGAAACACACACACACACACTATAGCAAAATGCAGAGTTCCTGAACGTTAAAGCAGGCGGTACGTATAGCCACCATTGCTCTATTAAACCATTTGAGTTACCACTAGAAGGACGCTGGGAAAGCGCTCGATGTACGGCGCGTTCAGACGTTCACTGCTATCGTCACCGTCAAGTCTGGCCCCTCACTCTTCCTGAGTGGCTTGAAACAGACTGATCTTCATCTACATCCAGGACAATATGCAAATATCCCAACATCCAGTAAGGCCTGGGAGCAGATTCTCAGATTACCTAACCAAGGATTTGCTTTTGCAGTCATATTTTACAAAGGCGCAACTGACGGACCTTTTGAGGTTTCATTTATATTGATTTGTCTGCAGATATAGTCGACAGACTTATCAATATCAATTACACCACAAAGGTCTACGCGTCAGTTATGCCTCTTTAAAAGTACTTCTACTTTAAATTAATATATGAAATTCAGTATGTACCATATACAAATGTTCCCTGACCTGGGTGCCCACAATAAAGAAAACATTTAAACTTTATGAGCAGAGGCAAGGGTTACGATCCCGGAAAATTATTTAGACATTTATCCACATTTCTTATCATCTAAACAGCAGGTAGAAGAGAAAAATAATTAGTTTCGCCAGCAATTTAGAGAGAAATTAAGTAAATTGTTTAATTTATAGTTTTATCCTAGAGCAATCAAAGTATATGCCAGACAGTTTCATAAAGTCTGAGTGAAACGTGGAAAATGATTAAAGTGTTTATTATTTTCAGACCGTTTTACAAAACGGAAGAACGTAGTTCCACTTGTAACACTAACGCACAGGGTGCCTAAAAATGCGTTCACAAAAGAATTTATTTGTGAATTCTGAAAGAAAAAACGAAGAACAAACGTTGGGTTCGAGGTTCTTACGGTGTTGGCGATGAATATGACTTCTTGTAGTCTGGTAAAAGTTTACCGACGTTTCGTAGAAACGTACAGTCCCCATTTTCAAGGTCGAACAATTAGCCCAGCAAGAAAAAAGCGAGGACAGCTCTTATGGTTGTTGGACAAGTAATTCCCTTGCTAATCTAGTAACTAAATAAACGATAGTTTAATAATTTTCTTGAGGTAAGAGGGATTATTAAATACCAATTATTTTTTTTTATTGCTAGTGGGGTGGGACTAAGTCCCTTGTACTGCGGCCACTTCTGGCCTATTGTACCAGCCCCAGATGATAGGTGAGGGTGATTGTGGAGCAATTGGTGGAATGAAGATTGGCAGGGGAAACCGAAGTACTCGGAGAAAACCTGCCCCAGCGCCACTTTGTCCACAACAAATCCCACACGACCAGACCCGGGCTCGAACCCGGGCTGCCGCGGTGGAAAGCCAGCGACTAACTGCTTAAGCTTGAGCCTTAGAAGTTGGATAGTCCGAGGAAACAATAATAATCTAACGATGGACGAAACGCAAACAAAGGCCTCTCCTTGTAATGTTAACACGAGACTTCCTCGCCATTAGAGTTATGTTAATCTTGGAATAAGAGGTCATCTAACGTAAACAATTCAAGATCTGAGGTTCTCACAGCGGTGGTTACGAAGTGTACTATCCGGGCTACACAGCGTTACGTTCCAGAACATGTAAACAAGTTTATTGTAAATAATACAATTATTTATAAAAATATGTAAATTCTGAAGGGTTCTGACGATGGTGTGTAACTTTCTGGATTAGTGGTTTCTCGAACTTTTTCCACCTTCCGGCATTCTAAAGAAAGCTAAAGAACAGAACGTTTCGGAACCTGGATCTCTTTCCATCCTCAGGTGAGGAGGTGGGACACCTGCTCTGTTGGCTCCGTTAGGAAGAGCTAACCACAGTCACTGCACTGTCATTAGTCCAGTGACTGTGGTTAGTTTTCCTAACGGACTTAACAGAGCAGGTGTCCCACCTCCTCACCTGAGGATGGAAAGAGATCCAGTTTCCGAAACGTCGTGTTCTTTAGAATACCGAAAGATGAACAAAGTTAAAAAACCCAGTACCCCTTGTCATTCCATGTAGATCCCTGTAAGTTTTGATGATTTGTATTATGTGAGTTTGGTTTATATAACGACGCCTTGCAGCTGAATTTGTTGCATACCCTCTTATAATAACAACAATAATAAAAATAATAATAATAATAATTATTATTATTATAATGAATCACTTAATTATGAATAGTGATTTGTGTGGATGTGAAAAGAAGCTGTTGTAGTCTATTTTATGATCCTATATCAGTCTTCTCTTAGAGTAAAAGTAAGTAAAGTAAAGCTATCCCTGTAACAGGCCGTGAAGGCCCATAGGGCTGTGAGACGTTGAGGGTCCCACATTATCTAGACAATCGGCTCAAAGATGGCGGTAAGGTTGTCAGACCTACGCGGCGGCCACGCTTGACTCCCCAGGAAAATTATTTAATTAATTCCTGGTACTCATTTCTGTTAGAAGATGAGTCGACCCCAGGGCCATAGTGCCCATAGGATTGAAAAAATCCAATGACCTCATCGGGACTTGAACCCGCGACCTCC